ATAATGATTATCATGATGAAGATGATGATGATAATAATAATAATAATAATAATAATAATAATAATAATTATAATAATAATAATTATTATTATCATAATAATAATTATTATTATAATGATGATGATAATGATAATAATAATGATAATAACAATGATGTTGATAATGATGATGATAATGATAATAAAAATAATAATAATCATAACTACTAGAGCTACTGCTACTACTACCAATGATAATAGTGATAATAATAATGATAATAATAATAATAATAATAATGATAATAATGATAATAATAACAATAATAATATTATTATTATTAACAGTATTAGTAATCATCCAAATAATAATGATAATAATAATAATAAAGATAATAATAATATTAATGATAATAATAATTATGATCATGAATCAGTCATACAAAAACTTGAAGGTTTTATGCAATCATTCACTTTGTTATGAAGATAAAATATGTTTTACACTAATCAGTGAATACTTTTAATTGAATCCTATCATTACGAAGCTTTAAAAAAAACCTCATTACTGAATTTCATTTATTTCTTCATGTTTATTCCCATTCTCCTTTCTGGCCTTTTTATTTCTTTCTTTTGTTTTTCGTATTTTTATTATAATCTATTTTCCTTGGTGTTATGAAGTATGAAATCCTCTGCTAGAAATTTTGTTTTAATGGGATTGTGTGTAAGGTACGGTTTCTGACGATCATTAGTTGCATTAGACAACTGGTAAAGAATAACTTTCAATAGGTGAAAAAAACAGCACAAAGTCAAAAGAAAATTAACTTTGTTTCTAAATTTTTTTTTAGTATTTTCATGTGTACATTTAATAATCTAGGTTTATTGGAAAGGTGTGATGTCAGTAAATTCTATAGATTTCGTGTGTTATGGAGCTTTATATTTTGTAGATGTATGTGTAACTTCCTGCCTCAGATCAATACTTTTTTGTTCTGTAAAAAATCAAAATATATTTGGAATTTCATCATCAGTATCCAGTATTCAGAGAAAGAGGGAGAGAGAGAGAAAGATGATCATTCATTAAAACTTTAATTTACCACAAATTCACCAATACAGCAACTCTTAATTTATATAATTTTCAAACAAGCATTGATGAGTGGAATAATCACCATTCACTTAAACTTATAATTTCAGTGCTACAGTTATTTATGTAGCCCAAACTCACATAATATTTCATATAATACAGAGCACTACAACTTTGATAAATGACCAAAAAAATATAAACATAAGCACTGATATTAATATTTAACAAGTGTTGTTGTCTGTCACTAAATCCCAAACAAAAATATCTTAGGTTATTGCTTACATTTCCAATAACTTTTTATTGCATGGTGTTCTACAGCTCACAATATCATAACACATTTTCTGATTTATACCTGACGATATTCTTTCCTAAATTGCTGATGTACATCAAATTCACTCATTCTCTCTCCTCCTCCCCTCTCTCTCTCTCTCTCTTCCCCCCACACATACATGTATGTATATATATTTATATATATGTATATATGTATATATACACTTGCGAGTCAGATTTTATTCTGGTCTTCTTTGTCGATGTTGCAGAGTGAAGGGAGGATGCTTCCTACATAGACGAAGCTACAGACCTGCTTGATGTCTTGCTCCAGCCTTGAAGGTGATGAGGGATAGCTCACCGCCAGGGGCAGCATACAGAGAACTTCCATCTTCTTGGCATTTACGATGAGCCCAGTGTTGGTGTAGTTGTCGGACATGATTGCTAGTGTCCTTTGAAGTCCCTCTACTGTTTGACTGATGTAGGCAGCATGACCAGCATACTGCAGATCAAAGGCAGTAGCCGTTCATGCAATGGTGGTGATCTTTATCTGCCGTAGAATGAAAGTGAAGCCGGCGAGACGGTACCATAAGGCAGTGCTATCTTCCACGTGTAAATTATATCGAGATAGGAGTGCTACTGCTGCTAGGTAGATACTTAGGAGAGTTGGGGCAAAGACGCAGGTTTACGCCAACCTTGAGCATACCGGTGTGGATTTCCTGATGGGTCACAGTTTATCAGGTTCATCCAGCGTTTGGCAATAAAGTCCACTCTCAGAACTTCATTTTTTAAAACTTTGTGGTCCTCCCCGTAAGGACCAGTACCACCACTGAGGCTGCAGACAGATGGAAATGCAGTATTACCATCGCCAGAGATGAAAGACTTATACCGCACTTATATACAGGACTGTTGCAATAAGAGCTAAAATAAGCATGATTTGCCATATAGTTTGCATAACGTATGTATGTTTTCACTGAGAAATGATCCAAGTTGAAAATAAAGCAAGTCTTTCAGCACCAGTGAAGCTCGCTCCTGTAGGCATTATACAATAACCTGGCATTAAAGTAATAAGATAAAATAACTCTTCCTTTTCATTATGCCCTCATAAATAACATCCAAATTTCGCTTCATAAGTGACATAGCTGCTGGGTAGTTCGAGCTGCCAGCTAATAATTTCCAGGCGATCACACCAACTTGCAAAATAATGATAAAAACGCAATAAAAAGATCAAGGCCCACTGTATTTGATGGATGGCTATATTTAAATGTCATGATGTAGAACAACCCCACCCTCACCACTCCATAATGAAGTATCCAGAAATGCATATTATAAAACTGGAGAGTTAAGGCAAACATTCAACATTTTTTAGGGAATTGGTTCCGTATAACTGCCACAAAATCTGTGGACCTTTTATCCACTTTACTTTACTTGAAGATAAATTATTCTTTTATCGTTTATTATAAGTCGCGAAAAGCGTACGAACAAAACATTCAGTGCACCCCCCCCCCCCCCAAATATACTATCACTTTTCTTCTCACCTCAGATTCTCTTCTCCCCCTTTCCTTTTTCCTTTTCCTTAACTTCTTCGTCCCCTTCATCTGTCCACTTATCCTAATCGTTAACTCTTCCTTACCCTTTTCGCCACAATACTTTATCATAATGCTATATTTGGGGGTTTTGCTCAAAGCCCCACCCTATCGCTGTATTTTGAATACGCCGCTAATGACCTTAGGTGTTGACGCGACAGAAAAAAAAAAATGAATAAATAGATAAGAAATATTCACTGCAGAAATGAAAATACAAAGAGGTGGTCGTCTTTAACATGCATTGTATATAATAACTTGTACCAAAGCATTCGTCGTTGTGTTTAGTTTGGCACTTGTAGAAGAGTAGCCAATTCTGGGAAAAGCTCCCATTAAATGTTGCAGACGAGCCCCTAGTTATAAAAAAGAACAGAAAATGATTGACTGTCTTTTTCTCAGAAGTAAATTCCTCCATTTCAGATAACTGATAAAGTGTCTGATTGTCGTTGAGCATGCATGGAAACGTAAATCTATATAATTATTTATCCTTTGCCAAGAAAATGGAAAATTCAGAAGGCCATCCTTCTAGAGGTAGTGCAATACATCGATTCATTATTGCTCATCATATATATAGAAAATATTTTTTCGAAATCACCATACATTGACAAATTAAACTGCCCTTTCCATCTCGTCCTACCAGTCTCAGTGGACATTTTTCTTTTCTACTTGGCCCATTTATTTTACACCTTTTTCACCCTCCCTCTTCTGCATATGTATTTATTTCGCTGCAGTGAAATGAAGTTCAGAAGAATAATGAATGGACGGGAAATAAGGCATACATTCTTAAAAGCTTCCCATGAAAACGATTAACATTAGAGAATGTTAAAACAATCTTTTATGCGTAAAATTTAGAATGAGGCAGACATGCCGAAAGACAGATATGTATGTAATTTAGTATCATAATAATCATAGTATCATAAATACCCTCTATGAAACGTTTCAAAATTCCCCCCCAATCTCTCTCATTTATTGCCATCTGGTGGTCGTTCCCGCAAGTAACATCCCAAACAAACAGACGTTTTTTTCGAGGAAGTCAAAGCAAACGTTTCATGACAAAAACACAAAAGGCGAGACGTTACATGTGTATTTGTTAGACGTTTATGGTAAGCCAGATCTGTTTTATTTGTGGTTTGGATTTTTTTTTATATATAATTACTTACTTATTACTTTATATATAATTAATTACTTATAATTTTTATATATAATTACTTACTTATTATATATATAATTTATATATAATTATATTTTTTATATAATAACTATTCTAGAGTTTCGAAGACAAAGTGTAATGTAAACAGCACGTCTTGTAATCGATAAATAACATTGACGTTGTTGTAGGAATTAAAAACATCGAAGTAAGTAAGAAAGTATCTAAGTAAATTACTTATGAAAGAGTAGAAACAAGGCAAGGGATGCTTCCACAATCCGGTAAAGGAGCCACGAGAACCACCATCGCATATAAATCGAGTTTGGGACTTTTTTTTTCCCCTTTTGACAGCACATTTCTGGGTGTTTTTTTATAGCCCAATTGTACTCAGACTCAGCTCTCACTAGGTTTGTTGTTGTTGTTGTTGTTGTTTGTATGTATCCTATATTATAGGTGCCTTAAACTGCACTATAACATATTATTTTAGGTGATACTGTCTTCCACAAGCTACTGATAAGTCATCTGTATATTTAGTAAATCTAATTATGTGTAGATAGGGTATGATTGATTGTTTATACATATTTCTTATGTATTTGTATAGGTGGTTATAGCTTTTTATGTGTTAATTACCACTTTTGTTTCTTCCTGTTTTCCTTGCTTTCTGTCACTCTCCTCTCCTCTCTTTCTCTTTCACTCTCCTATTTTTCTCTTTTTTTTCTTTATTGTTTGTGAAAACACACACACGCACACATAAACGCACACGCACAGGCACAGGCACACACGCACACGCACACGCACACGCACACGCACACGCACACGCACACGCACACGCACACACACACACTCATACTTTTATTGCATATGTTATCAACTTTAATGTATTTGCTTCCTTTTCAGAGTTGAATAAATATGGAGCCAGCAAGAGATCACTGTGCTTACTACTATACAAAAGAACAAATAGAAAACCTCAGAATAAGGTAAAGAATGTAACATTATAATATATATTTTTTATCACTATTAATATTGTCATGATTATTATTATTATTTTCTTTAACCCAATCCCGCTTGGAATATATATTGTTCACTGTAGTATTGTTTTGTGAAATGTATCTACACATAAATGGCTCCATAAGGAGACAACTAGTAGTCTTTGTGCCCTCGTGTGGTTTTTGCTTTCCGTGACATTTTGGGATTTTTTTCTTTCTTTTTTTCTTTTTTCAGTGCTGATAATATTGATGCTGTTATTATGATTATTGACATCATAATTCTTACAGAGTTATTAACAGTGCTGATAGCAATATAAAATGAAATTAAACGAGAAATAGGTCGGATTAGTAATTGACTCATTGCTGACTGAGCACTTGTTGATAAATAAGCTCACTTAGCTAACAAACTAAACTCACTGTTTAGTTTATCAGGTTAATCTACATGCACACCATTTTGAATAAAAAAAGATAAATAAAAAAAATAAATAAATAAATAAAAAAAAGGATAACAAGACCTTTAACATACAACTTATGACTTCTTTAGGACAGTGTTGCAGCAACTCACAGGTTCCCAGCTGGTTGACGCATCACCAAGAGCGGTAGAAAATACACCTGCGGTTGGCGAGGTGGACCTGAACCTTACAACCCTTTCCGTGCCCACTGCATCAACTAGTGATGCCAGTGCTTCACACACACAACAGCAAGTTATTAAGTGGCAGCAGAAATTGTTAAGGTAGGCAGTAAGTCATATGGCTTTAGTGTGGGCAATCTTCAGTATAGAATGTGATTTCTTCTTAATGTGTGCATGAGTGAGGTATGTGAATAGGTGAGTGTGATATAGTGTTAGTGAGAGTGAGAATGAGTGAATGTGTGAGTGAGCTGCTGTTGATACGGGAGAAGTAGGCTTTTATGAGAAATATTTATATGTCATTCTTATTCTTCTTGGTACAATGAATTTATACTAATAAATATCTTTACTGAATGAAGAGATTAAAATATATTCATAGCAATGGTGTTAACTAGGGTATCTTTTCAGTCCTTTTGAAATAGTGGAATATGGCCGTCCTATATATGCAGAGGATTCACAACACAAATCGTACCATGAACAGGCTGTTAAATTAAAGAAACGCAAGCAATGGAGGAGAAGAATTTTCACCTACACACACCAAGATAATTATCAAAGCCAGGTAACTGCAAAATAACATATTACATAGCTACTGATAAGTCATCTGTATATTAAGTCAATCTAATTATGTGTAGATAGGATATTATTGTTTGTGTATACATATTCATATGTATATGTGGTTATAGCTTTTTATGTGTTAATTACCACACATAATTACAGTCATGTAGATGTAAAGAACTATTTTCTCAATGCTTAAGTTTCATACAGCCATCTTTTAGAAGGCAAATGATATATGGAAATCACAGAGCAAATGAATCTAAGAAACTTATCTTCTATGTACTTCTATGTGAGAGAGCCATGAAGACATTTTTTATTTGTATCTAATTTTAGACAAAGTATCATATGTAACTAGACATAGAAATAAAATAATTGTTGCCAAGATGAAAATAGGGACAAATCACCATATTAGTAATGAATGTGTAATTGTTAGAATTATACAGAATAAAATAATGTAACTGAAATTCAGAATCAAAGTAGTATTACTGTTCTATGATTGTGTTGCAATGGAATGTGCAGAAAGGGAAATATAACCAAAGGGAAATTCAGAACTACTGCACTTTCTATTTTCAAATTTTGTAATTATAGGAGCATTTGCTTTTACAAGTTTTGGACTGTTGTAAACAATGCTTTCAGATCCACATTAGGGCAAGCACAACAAAACAGATGGAACCAGATACGTGTGTGAGGCAAAGGAAACGAACAGAAGGTGAAAGGTATGTACTGGCATAAGTGCATCATTTGTTATGTGAAGTGCTATGGTAAAAGTTGTGGTTGAGTTTAATACTACAAACACTGTGAGGTAATTAAAGAAGGTTATTCTATTTTAACTTTGTTTTCAAGAAAGTTCCACATTTTTGGAGGTTTTGTTGAAAATCATTTTGAAGATTGAAGTTGTATCTGTCAAAGATTTTAATTTCTTTTAGTGTGAGAAGTACTCTTTATTTTCATGCCAATAACAGCCATAATCCTCTTTAAAGGTTATTGGTGAGTTACATAGTGTCTGTTAATATAGTGATTTTCCAGTTGTAGTTACTGGCACTGTGATGTTCTATTGCTTGCTTGTGTGCTTGATCTCCACTTTCTCTCACAGTTTACCTATCATATTTTTAAAATTATGCCTAAAGTTGTCTGAAAAAAAAACTTGTGTGTATTGAGAATATTCTACCTAAGATTATTTTATAGAAATGCCAGTCAAAGTGCAGCCCTGGTGGATGGCAGGAAAGGAGGGGAGAAGAATGACCCAGAAGCAACTAAGTCTCAACAGCAGCATTTTTACATCATGGCTGACTTGGCACCACCTGAGTTGTGAGTTAATAGGGATTTTTGGTGTTAACCCAATGGTGCCGGGGAAAATGAACAAAAAATGAGGAAAATATTGTGCCCACTTTCTATGTTTTTCTTGAAATGTCTGCCGATAGATGGCTCTGCTAGCACCTGATTTAAATGGCGGGAAAAACGTATTTTTCATTAGTGCTATGAAAATCAATGGTGTTATTTTCATCGTAAACATTATAATTTTTATAATTTTTTTAAACATTTGTAACAGCAAAATAAGATTACGTAAAATATTTTGTAAATCAAAGAAACGGGTAAATGGCCGAGACGTGCGGTGCTCGTAACTGGCTCATTGGGGAGTTAGTACAAGTGTTGCCATCTATGCGTAAAAACAATCAAACAAGTACTCACTGTGGGCATAGCACGTACGTACACGTCATACCCGGCACCAAGGGGTTAAAGTTCGTCAAAAATTGTTCTAATGAACATGTACCTTTTGTTGTTTAGGATAGCATTGAAGAAGCAGATGCAATATATGAATTATATTCTTCAATTTTCCTTGGACATTTGGTAGGTTTGTAATAGGTGTGACCTTCCCAAGAATTCCAATTGGTATATTTGTCACTTTTATTACTTCTTATTTATTATGATTCAGCTTAGGAGAAACCAGAGCCCACGAAGTGATCCTTTGCACACTGCGGTACAATCCTCATGGCCAGCTGACTGTTTCGCCTGACTTCACCAAATTGAATACAAAACCATTTAGGTAAGACATTCCTTTAAAAGGGCATTTGCTTTTACACTTTTCTTTCTAGAGATTGGTAATAGATTGTGAATCAGTTCATACTTCTGATGCTTTCCTCAATTAGTATAACTTTTTACCCCTTTTTTGTTTCCCACAGGTTAGAGAGTTTTGGTTCTGACAATGCTCTCTATGAATACACCGTTGAAAATGTGTCTCTTCCACAACCTCTGGAGGAGAAACAGAAGGAAAATGAGCTACTTCAGCAGGTTAATACTGAATTAAATGTAGCTTTTGTGTATATATATATCTTGAACTACATCATTCATCTTTCTCAGAGCAGATTGAATTGTCTAAGTAGGCTCAAATTCATATTGAAAGAAAGTGTATGTAAGTACGTAATATAGGATAAATGGTTAGTAAAATAAGTAATTTTAAGAATATATACCAAATTTCAATTTATGTTTGGGTATGTGCAAATAGATTTAGATAACAAAGGAAGTGATTATTTCTTAAGACATATAAAGAATAGGTTTCAGGTATAATATAGTTTTGAATCTCTCTATTTGTAGATATCACGGCAGCGAATGGAAGAAATGCAGCAAATAGTTGGGCTGGACTGGAACACACAACAGCTAGGTGAAGGTGAAATACGATTGGTTGTGACAGGGGAGATTTGCCGTGCACAGCATTTCTCAGACGTTTCATCTTTGTACCTCCACTATGTCCTACATCTTCCTCCAGGTGAATTGCAAAAGCATTTAGTTTCGTTTTTCTCTGAACTTGTTTTTTTTTTATGCAGATATTTGTAAGGGGGTTAACTTGAAATAGTATGGCAATTCAGCATAGTGGTTTGTATTCAAACACGTTATAAAATATAATGCTATAATTAATAGTATTACAAAAGTGTAATTGTAATGCATTTTTGTCTTTCTAAGAATCTCTGCCCTTTGAGGACTTCTAAAAGTTTGGTTTCAAGATACTCCATGATATTAGCCATGTACCATAAAACAAAAAAGTAAATCTGGCAATTGAGTATTGCTCTGAGGTGAGTGGAGCTGCCTGTTAAGTATATCCAAAGCTTTATTTTGTTGACTGTGAAATGTAATAAAATTTAAGCTTTCAGAAATGTTTCATGATTTAGCAAATGAAAATAAGATGATATAATTGATGGTGATTTCCCAATATGCAAGCTCTCTCTCCTGGGTTGTATTCATTCAGGGGCTTGTGGTTGTCACCCTAGCGTGCATGGCATGACCATACATGCCTCCTGAAAATGGAATTAGCTCACCATGGCATGTATGCACATACACCCACAACATAGTCCAGGCATGCCACCCAGCAACTAAGGCTCAATTTTAATTCTATACCATATTTCAGCACTTCATGACACAATAACCTTATCTAGAACAGAACTGAAATCACTTTTGTCCTGCATTTTCTTATGAGATTCACTTTACTGCAGAATGGCCGTAAGAGTAGGTTGGGATTCAGGACTGTGACTAGTGGTACAGTGGAGCTTAGAACCAACACCCTTATTGAGTCAAACTCCAAAATAACAGGTAAGTAGTGGCCTTGAAGGTAATTGTTTTTCTCTAGTTATTACAAAGAGTAGAATATTAATGCTAATAATAAGTGCTTAACAATTAATGAAAATATACAATATATTAGAAAAGAAAATATATTAAGTACTGAAAACTTATTACCTTCACTTGGTATCTATTACAACAACAACAAAAATAATAATAATAACACTTTTATTCCCATTTTTTTTTTTTTTTTTTTTTTTTTTTTTTTTTTTTTTTTTTTTTTTTTTTTTTTTTTTTTTTTTTTTTTTTTATGCAGATATTTGTAAGGGGGTTAACTTGAAATAGTATGGCAATTCAGCATAGTGGTTTGTATTCAAACACATTATAAGATATAATGCTATAATTAATAGTATTACAAAAGTGTAGTTGTAATGCATTTTTGTCTTTCTAAGAATCTCTGCCCTTTGAGGACTTCTAAAAGTTTGGTTTCAAGATACTCCATGATAATAGCCATGTACCATAAAACAAAAAAAGTAAATCTGGCAAAATTATTGTTACTGACTTTATCTTATGTGCTAATAAGTGTAATAAGCTAACAGGCATTTAGCTGGTGTTGGCTATTGTTGTTTTTCCTGTTCTTTTTTTTCCCTCTTTATTTTTCTTTTTCTTCATCTCCTTTTCTTCTGTATAAGCCTAGCATTTGCATAAATAGAAGTAGGGAGCACTGGGAAAATGTTGAAGTAAATATGTTTTTTATTGCTGAATTCCAGGATGGAGACACAACTCAGGGACAGACTGTGAGGGTTTCACTCCTACGTGTGTGGTTGGACACCTAGAGGATATTCCAACAGTACATTATTCCACTCCCTTCACTGTAGATGTGACACGCTCAAAAGGAGGTTAGTATGCTGAAAGTTCATTTGTCTGTGTGCTTGCATGTGTGTATGCTTGCTAGTTTTTGTGTGGTCAGCTTTAGTGGTATAACTAATTCTTCTAACATTTCTTCCCAGGTAAAGGTTGGCCACAGATGTTGCTGGCAGTATTCTCGGTTGACTGGTGGGGCCGGGAGAGGGATGAAGGATATGCATCTTTTGTTCTTCCAACACCTGGTAAGTTTATGTTTGCAATGTATCATTCCACAATAGGTATGTGTGACAGGTTGAGGAGCAGTATTCTTGTGTGGATTGTTAGTAAATCTTATTTATATATAATTAGTTTAATGCTAAATAATGGTTCATTTTGCTGTAGATAAATTTTGTGTAAACCATTTTACCATTATCCTATACTGTTTCATGCTTCCATTAGGCTACGACTCATGCAACAACAGTGACAAGATGGAAGGTGGACTTCACCAAGTGGGAACATGGCGACCAGCCCAGTCTTCACCCATTGCCACAATGCGAAGGTTCTTTCTTGGGGGATGTCAACTCATGGCTGATTCTTCATATCTGGCTGTTGAGTATTGCTCTGAGGTGAGTGGAGCTGCCTTTTAAGTATATCCAAAGCTTTTTATGCAAGACTAACATTTATTTTGTTGACTGTGAAATGTAATAAAATTTAAGCTTTCAGAAATGTTTCATGATTTAGCAAATGAAAATAAGATGAATATAATTGATGGTGATTTCCCAATATGCAAGCTCTCTCTCCTGGGTTGTATTCATTCAGGGGCTTGTGTTGTCACCCTAGCGTGCATGGCATGACCATACATGCCTCCTGAAAATGGAATTAGCTCACCATGGCATGTATGCACATACCACCCACAACATAGTCCAGGCATGCCACCCAGCAACTAAGGCTCAATTTTAATTCTATACCATATTTCAGCACTTTCATGACACAATAACCTTATCTAGAACAGAACTGAATCACTTTGTCCTGCATTTTCTTATGAGATTCAACTTTAACTGCAGAATGGCCGTAAGAGTAGGTTGGGATTCAGGACTGTGACTAGTGGTACAGTGGAGCTTAGAACCAACACCCTTATTGAGTCAAACTCTAAAATAGCAGGTAAGTAGTGGCCTTGAAGGTAATTGTTTTTCTCTAGTTATTACAAAGAGTAGAATATTAATGCTAATAATAAGTGCTTAACAATTAATGAAAATATACAATATATTAGAAAAGAAAATATATTAAGTACTGAAAACTTATTACCTTCACTTGGTATCTATTACAACAACAACAAAAATAATAATAATAACACTTTTATTCCCATTTTTTAAAATTTATTTTTCTACTTCAGAAAAACAATCTATAATGAATGCATTAAAAAAAGTTTGACCTCTTTTCCCAGAATCATGGAATTCAGCTGTGCCTTGGAATGCTCCCATTTGGCAGTTATCAACTCGGGCTGTTTTAGATGCCTTCAATAAATCACGACAGAAACTTAGAGCAGCAAAACAAGGGGTTTAGTGAGTGTCAGAAGTTTAGATTTCGTGGTGCATGTTGCTCAGGTATTGCAGACCTTGGGCTGATGTTTACTTGTAGGGAAAGAGCTACAAATGTGAGTTATGGAAAAGCAGTATGAACAGGTGTTTCTGAATGAAATGCTCCCATATGTAACACATTATTAGATTTATTTATTTATCTTTATATTAGGTGTGTGTCTGAAAAAAAAATTCTGCAGGTCTTCTCATATTGTATGTGAATGAACATAGTTGATCTATAATGCAGATTGAACATAAATTCTTGTGTTGAGAAAGTTTTGAATCAAAGGATTAAAGGGAAGAGTGAATTCTAAATGGTCTTTTATTTATCCATGTGTTCATAGCAAGGAAGTATATGGAAACTTGAAACTCTAACCAGTTCTTTTTTTTTTCTTTTTTTCTTTTTTTTTTTTTACTCAGTAAATCAGCAAATGTGTTATTAACTTTTCTTGCTCTTCTAGCTTGATTTATTGTCTTCATTATCACATTATCAGTTATCATCAGAATTATCTTCATCATCATCATCATCAATAATCATCAATCATCATCAAAACAACAACAATAATTTAATGTTAGGGCATTTTATGTTTATTTTCGAGTTTTAGATTGTGTTCCAGGAGTATAGATTAGAAAAATTAATTGCCAGAAAGAGGAGTTTGAAGTTGGTTTAACTAGGTTTTGATATATAACCTAGCAATGACAGTTTTTTGCCCATGCCAAACTGAACCACCTGCCTGGCATTGTATCCAGTCAGGCACTTGAGCAAAAATTAGGCACCAAAGAAACCAGTGTTTTCCCAGCTGATCATGATGTCAAGTATTAAAATATATGAATATTCAGTAGAAAAAAGATTAAGAGGATGCTTTTCAATGATTATAGAAAAAGCAAGTGAATGACTATTCAACAACTTACAATAGGCTGCACTGTAGTTGGCATGACTACTTGACATTTATCATATGAATTCTGTGCTTCCTGGCAAGAATAGATGTCACCCAGCATTATGGGTTATTGGGACCATCCTGTGTGAGGGAGATTGACAGATAAAATTTCCTAAAAATGATTGCATCTGATAGATTTGCATTGGTTTTTACATTATCTTTGTATGAATATTGTGCATTTCTTTTGTTTACTTTTGAAATTTCATTTTATGGAGTGCCCCCACCCCCCACAAAAAATCTCTCTCTCTGCTCTACAAATAACAAAATTCATGTAGTTTCTAAAATAATTGTGTAGATAGCTATAGAAACAATTCTTTTCATCAGGAAAAGGTAAATTTAAATATTTGCCAAAAATAGTGGATTATAATTCATATGCACAATTAGTGCTTGTTTAATGGAGCAACTTTATTTTAAGCAGACTGTCCCAGCCAATAGTTAGCCTAGCTTCTCAGAAAAATATTCTACTGCTATTTCAGCTATATACAGTGGTCAAGTCTTTTTTTCAATGTAAAGCAAACAATAAATGGAGGACTGTGGATGGTGATACAGGCATAAATATGTTGTAATGACATAATTATAGCATGAATATAGCATATATGCTCAATATTGATTATTAATGACGAAACAGAAGTGAATTGACTGGAGTCATAAGATTTTTCTAAGCTCCATACTCCATGCACCAATTTATGAAGCTTCCTCATTCCTTCACGAATACTCTGAGCTACCTAACTCCACCCCCCCCTCCTCCCCCAAGCGACCTGTGTTGCCCACCTTGATGCTTGGTATGTGTGGCTGGTCTGGCCTCTTTGTCTTGAAGTTTCATTGCACTTGGACAGGCAGTTTGTAGAAAATGGTTACAGCCATATTTTACTCCATGTTCTTGTTTGGAGGCTTATCTTAGCCATATCATAAATCCTATGAAGGACATTCTAGGAAGGACAGCACTGATTTATGTTGAAGGTACATATTCCAGATTACTAGATGTATGCCAGGCTACTGTATAAAAGGAGTGTGCTGGTTTCATGGAGGGAAAAAAAACACTGAGTATAATTACTTATTTTAATTCTACTTTGTAAAAAAAAAATACATCTATTTACAAGACAGTGGATCTACTTTCCAATGGACATTCAGAGAGCTCCCTGAGGCCTACGGAACTCCTAGAAGCATGGAGCGGGGCACAGGGAGACACTGCACAACACAACAAACCACCCTCGCCTCTTTCCATCTGCAGTGTCCACACCCTTCCATTGCCAAAGTGGTGTGTCCTCTGGCGTGTGAACCTCTGTTGGAGGAGGAGCATCATCATCATCATCAGTAGAAATAGGAGTAGGGAAAGGAGGAAGAGGGCTGGAGTTGGAGGGTCCAGTGAATTACCATGGAATTCACTAATGCCACATCCATGAAATAGAAAAATATAATTTTGTATAACTTGATGGTCTTCCTGGGTGCTGCCCTATTATAAGTTTTTATTGCCAATCAAACCACTCCATGCATGACCAGCCATGTGACATGACATCAATTGGCACAGAAAATAATGATAATATGACATGAGTCATGGCACATGCTGTCATGGTGCATATGTCATAAGGCAAGGAAAATAGAATTTTTTTTTTAAATAACTTTGAAAACAGACATTGTCACCAACGAGAAGGCCAGAACATTTAAACCATCAATCATGATAGACAGAGCTGTATCCACATGAAACTGGAATGAACTATGACGACTATACCTGTCCCCATCGCCCTGGATTAAGTTCAAGTTTCGAGTTATTCAAGGAAAAATGTCTTTAAAAACATGACTGAAAATTGTCAATATTGTTGGTTGATGTTCCATCAGATTCCATTTTTGCTATTACAATATCTAATTACATATATACATTATGAAATGAAAACCATTCTTTTATTTGTGTAATACATTTTTTGGCATGTAAAAAACACTACAAAAAACAAACTTTCCTTTCAGGTAAAAATAATATAAAGTTACTTTATGAAATTATACTTTTTTTATCATATTGTGTATTCATATATTTTCTAAGGCAACAAAAAATTACCTCACATATCATCCACCTCAAATTTCACAATATTGGAGTCTTAGAAAAACTATATTATGAATTTTATGAGCCAATCCGATTCCTTCTTGTATGAAAAATAAATCTCCAACTAAGTGTAACATTATTGTTATTGTCACCATCATTATCTTATCCCCCCCCCCACTACCACCATTACCACCTCATCTATGTGCATATGGTCATACTGAAGGTCACAGAAGCATTTAATTTTAATATTACTTATAAATATTAGTTCACATATTTCTAAACTATAGGCCTTTATTTTTTATATCATCCTGAAATCCCAATCACTTTGGTATATTGTTTCATGGTGTATCATGGTCGCTGCAAAATATAAATGCCTCAAAGTTTGTTCTGACATACAAAGTTTTGAAAAAAGAAGGTATTTATCTTTAGTTTACCTAAAAAAGTCAGTTGTCAATACCCATATAGAGTGAACATGTATTCAATGTACAGCTAAAATGGCACAAACATTTTATGTGCCTTTGTATAAGAATTGTATTAAGAAACATATGATGTGATTTGTAATTAATGAATACATAAATCCCTATCTGAGATGTACATGTAATATGTCAAGGAGTATCATGCTCTGACTAGCTGGCTAACATGTATCAAAGTGTATCAAAATGTTAGACTTCTGGAAATACTACAAAAAAGGTCTCTCTGCCACTTGAACCATTTATGATAGTGGTGGTTTTATTAATGTATGTGCATGGCAAAACTGCCCTGTGGGTTTTATGGCTCAGCTTCAATTTCAATGCAATAACAAAAAATACAAGGGGTGTCAATATTGCAGTTAGCCATATTAAATGCAATTCATTATCTTCAGTGCAATATCTAATGTCTCATTATTACAGTGTATTATCATTATAGAGTTTATGCTGTTGTAAATTTTTGTTCTAATTAGCAGAGTTAGCTTTGAAATGTGGCAATAGCAAAAATCATAGACAAAATCACTAAGAACAATCTTAGACCATTCGTCAATACCACCCCAGGAATCTTAATATTCCAGGAAATGCACAAAAATATACACTAGTAAGGTTTATAAACATAGTACATGGTAAACACTTGAACTCTGTATAAATATATATATATATATTACATAAAAGTGTACATATGAAAACAAACAAATGAAGAAAGGACAAAAGAAAAAGGGAATTAATTATGAAATCTTTATTAAGAATACAAAATATACACACAGTTGAGTTGTTTTTGGGGAAGCTGATCAACATGGGAAATAATTTTTTCAATACTGATGAAGCTTTGCTTATTAAGAAACATTTATAAAAGCCTTAATGCTTACAAATACGTTTTCTTTCCCTATTTCTATTCAGTATTTCTTGAATGAGAGGTACATTTAAAAAAAAATAATAATAATAATACAACATAAGAGAACTTATTAATAAGCCTATGAAATGCACAGCAAATAAGATCACTATATGGCACAACTTATTGAAAGAGAGACTTAAGGAATGTAAAAATTTGTTCAAATGATGAAAAAACTTGCTGGCTAATGGACCATTCAGATTGAAAATGCTCTGCTAAGGTGTATCAAGATTTCAGCAGTAAGATATAACACCACATATTCAGTATTAACACATATATTAGACTATTACTATGCTTCATTACCCATATTACTGGGTAAAAAGGCTTATCTGCTGATTACAAGAAATTTGTGTATTTTTTCCTCGGTTATTGTCTATGAGAATAACACTCATTTTCATTACTATTTTTCTAGTGTGACAAGAAAATTGTTACTATGACAGATCCTTGAACGGAGTATGAAAATAGCAGTTGAAAAAGGCAAAATTAACATCTCATTGCAAACATTCACAACAAGAACATTGAGCTTAACCCTTAAAGTTCACACGTCATCAATTGATGTTGAGCGTGTACATGAGCCCATTATTAGTCTGGCTTTTCCCACTATTTTGAGTTTTCACGTGTCAAATTTCCCTTTTATAGTCTCGCACATCACTTGAAAGCATAGGATTTGCCTGAGTTTGCCCAGTATGCAATTATTAGGGACAGACACACCAGATCCTTTCTGACCCCTGACCTGTGCGAAGATGCCCAGCTTGAAATGCAAAATGTTTCAGCTCTTGTTTGGCAGTGAGAGTGATGAGAATATCGATAATGACTCTGGACTTATCTAAATTGTAAATAGTGTACATATATGAAAATGTAAAGTGAGAACAAAAGTGCCTTCAAGTTACACAATAGTTAAATAGTAAGTCTACAACCAATTATGCCAAATTAATATGTTTTCCCTTTTCCTATTTCTAATATTATTGTAAAATTTT